AAGTTTTGCCTTTCAAGGGGCTCTAGTTTATAATACTTTACCTCGGCATTTAAGAACTGTAAACTCTAGGTTTCTTTTTAAGAGTAATTTAAAACAATTTTTTCAATAGTATTCCATAATTCATAACTCTTTTCAGTCTTGTAAGTCGATGATTTTTACAGATTTTGATTTTTAAATCTTAGATTTCTTAGTGTTGTTTTATTCTATTTTCCTTTTTCGATTTTTTTATTTTTTATTTTTTAGCTAATTATGAGATAATTACAGGACCCTTTTGATAACAGTTCTTTTTATTAGAACTGATAGGTTATCCTGTATAAATATTCGCGTTATTATTATTATTATTATCCATTGATAGCAGTCTTTCCAAAAGGCGTTAGAATATTTACAGCTCCAAAATAAGTGAATCAGGTTTTCCGTTGTCTCTCCACAGAAGATGCAGGAATCAGACTGTTTAATTCCTATTTTGTACAGAAAATCATTGGCTGCAATTCGTCTATGTAGAAGTTTAAACTGAAACTCTCTCAGTTTTGTTTCTTTAGTACACCAAAATGGTAATGAATATGTGCTTTCCCAATTAACCGTCTCGTTTCCTAATAAGTCTTCAGCCAACCATTTACCTTGGCTTTTAAGTGTTGTTGAAGCCTTTTTTTTTAATGAGGCGCTGATAAGCTTTTTTGTAGAATTTTGTGTGGGATAGGAGAGTTTTAGCCGCATCTTGGGTTTGGTCGTTTCCGTTGATAGGCAAACAAAGTTTTTTATACCTTGTTAGAGTACAGGGTGTTTCAAAAGTTCGTTCCGATTATAAGTTGTATTTTGCGCAAAGCATTTGATGCTTCTTTAGGCAAATGTGAACTGATTCAGGTAAGAAATTTATCTAAATAACCGTTTAACCGTTCAAAGCAATTTCAAACTAAAATACATTCTATATCTCATCGCTTAGAAAATGTCAGAAAACATACAAGAAGACATTCTGGTTACTAATGTTTTAGTTAATCGAGGAGAAAAGGAGTAATGAATAACATACTAAGTTTTACAAAAGCCTTCATGTTTTTTTAATAATTAGTAAAATTTAAGCGAATAAAAAATCGGAACGAAATTTTGAAACACTCGTAGATACAGCTTTATAGTACTCAAGATAGTTAGCTTTAACTTTAAATTTCGTTACAAAAACATCAAAGCTAATAAATCTGGAAGCCTCATCAAGGAGGTCTTTCAGTGACATTCTCCACACTCGCTTTAAACCATGATTTGTAAAAAAAAGGTTTCTTCTCGATCGTAATCAGTAAGTTATGCCAGATACATGTTAACTCAAACAGTGGGTTCTTCTCACTATAATTTAAATTGGACCAATGTTCTTCAATTTCTTTAAAAAAAGGGTCTTATTTTCAGCTGCGATGCATCTTTTTGTTTTAAATTGCACAAGAACTTTGCTATCCCACAGGAAATCATCTAGCACGCAGCAGAGCACCATGGGTAAGGAAATGTGGTAAACTACCCATCCGAGAAAATTTGGTTATCACGTGACCGTACACCGACCGACCGCCCGACCGTCCGTCCGCACCACAGGCATACCAATGTAAAATAACTCATTCAACAGGTATGGCAACCCAAATGTAACTCGAGGCTATTTTGACGGGAAATCGCATAGCCACCAGCGTCTTGTGAAGCAGAGACAACTAAAGAGTCAATAAAGACGAAAACGGAAACGGAAATTGTTTCTGTATCCGTGTTTTCTAAAGTATTAAGCTTAGATTAATTGTCTGGTCCACAAATTTGGAATATTTATGGAGGAAAAGAAAGACAGAGAAAAAGAGAAAGTAGGCGGCAGGCCATTGAAGCTCAACGAGATAAAGGGCGACAGAGATCTAGAAAACCATACTCCCAATGCATATACTTTATCTTTGGCCCATAATATTGGTATCAAGGAGGGAAGGGTGATTTCTGAACTTTTACTGGAGCCAATCCATAGGGCTTTAGCTTCTTCGTAATTGACTTTAAGACCCGAGATCAAGGCAAAAGTGTCTAGGAGATATAGAGATCTAGAAAATGAGGACTGAGATCCATCTAAGATGAAAAGTGTATCATCAGCGTATTCAACCTCGTTCCCAGGGTTCTCTCCTACCTACGGAGCGAGAGAGAGAGAGTAAAAACTTGCAAGAGGTGACAGGCCGCACATCTTCACCGGCGTGAAACCTTTCAAAACCTTTTACATATTGCTCCATTGAGGAGAACTCTTTCAGGGATCTTACAGTTTAAAATTTGAGCCATGATATAGCTTATATATAGCGGACCAAGATACAGCGCGGTACAGTTTATGTTCAGCAAGGGAAAATTGTGTTGAAAGTTGAGCAGAACCTTTAAAATGTACAACAAACAAATTGTTCAGTTCGCGCGTATTCCTGTTGAATTTGTGGCCCGTGTATGAGATTTGTCTACTCAAAACTATAATAATTTTTCCATAGCTGCTGTTATCGTAGGGTATCTGCTTTTAATATCTCGGTAAAGTTTAGGTTTACGCGATCTCAGAGAACAATGTTCAGCTGTACACAGCACGTAGCCTTTAAATATATCCAGATCTAACACTGGTTTTGTGTATTTGTCACGTCTTAAGTAGAAGCATGATTTAAATACATTATGATGGTGTGTCCTTTGAATGTCGTTTTAAAACTCGATCGCTTTGTAAATGTATCTTGTAGTTTTAATATCATAGGAGAGTATTTTAAAGCTCGATATTTTTCAATACCATTAGCATGTTGTTTTTTTACCAACCAATTGACAAATATAAGTTTACAAGCAAGACCGGCGGTTTCGAATCTTACGATTCTCATCAGTTGCTATGTGGTGGGATGGTTGAGGTGAACTCTGAACCATTCCGCATTACTTGATTTGCTCGCTCTGTACGGCGCTCGCTCCGTAGGGCGGGTAGGAGAGAACCCTGGGAACGAGGTTGCAGCGTATTGTGATATTTTACATTCAGTGTCAAGGACTTTGATTCCTTGTATCCTAGTATCATTTCTGGCGGAATTTCGTAATACTTCGGCACACAAAATAAAGAGATAAGGGGACAGTGGTCATCCTTGTCTTACTCTGCGGCTTTAAGAGAAAAAGTCAGAGATCCATCCATTGTTTTGAACACAGCTGCTGATACCGGTGTAAAAGAGCCTAATCCACGCCACTAATGAACTTCCAAAATTGTAATAATTTAGGGTTTTCTCAATGAATGACCATTCTAGACTATCAAAGGCCTTCTCGAAGTCAATAAATTGTAACAGACCTGATCCGGTCCTTCTTTTTTGTAAGCTAGTCCTTGCTTCAAAAATTGCACAGAAGTTTACCCCGATAACTCGAATGTGTTTTAACGCCACTCGGATGCCATTCCATTAGCTCTTCTTGTTGTATGAGGGTAAAGTCCCTAAAACTAACCCTGTTCTTATTCTTCAGTTTTCAATTTAAATTCCTTTCATTTGCATATCAAAAGGTCACTTTGGGCAGTCTCTTATTTTTCTTTGCAAAGTTCCTGCCCGCGAAACCTAAGCACGCGAGCGGCGAAGCCGCTTGCCGCGAGAAATGATAATCGTGGTTTGCAATCGCGCTGGATGAGATAAGAACTAGACGGTTTTAAGAGAAAGGCGGACTGCAAGCTACCCTGCTAGCAGAGTCGCTTCGATCTTTCCTTTTCTAGGAAAGATCGAAGCGACTCTGCTGGCAGGGTAACTGCAAGCCCCGGGGGGCCCGGGCTGCAAGCAGCCTACTGAGCTCTGAGCTCTGGTTAGGCAATGAGGGTCGCGATGGACGCTCCGGATCCCTTTTCATTCTCGTCCCCAGAGCCTGTCGTTTCTTGGTCACGTGGTTAGGGAACGAGTGTACAAACGAGGGACACCGCGGCAAAACGCACTGCGCAAGAGCAAAAAATTCAACATCCGGTAAGCTTTTTATTTCCGGTCTAGTATATAAACCAATTGCGTAAGCATAACATTGCCGTCGCACCAAGTTTAAAAGCAAAAAGGGAGAAACAGACAAAAAAGGGGGCGAAAAAAATCACTTCATTCGAAAGCTTATATATTTTTCTAGTGTCAAACTTTTGCACCACATGGATATCTGTTTGCACCAACGGTGAAAATGGTGTTTGAAGTTTGCAGGTCGCGAGCGCTCGACAAGACGAATTTGTTTTTACTGGCTTTCTTGCATGCTACTGGTTTGGGATAAGTTAATTTGGGAGAAGGCGATAACTAAGAAAGAATGGCAATACTTATGAAAGAAACCAAAATAAAGACGTCATCATTATCATTAACACTAGAACCAGGAAATAAAATTTTAGTCCGTTCAACAATTTTTTTATTATCAGAGAAAACAAGAACTCAAAACAAAGATGTGCGGGAGGGCGGTGCGGGATTTAATAACAACCTCGCCTTTGATGACTACAGTCACGAAGACCCGGAGCTTTCAGTGCTGGGAAACTAAACATGCCTATAAGTGACATTCATTCAAGAAAATGCCTATTTAATTCTTTTACATGGTTGTTCTTTGGTTGAAGACTTCTATAATTTCAGACTGTGCGGCTCGGCTGCATCTCATGCAAACACGAAACTTCCAGCTGCTAAATACATGGCATTAAAAGTTCGACTTCTAAAAGCCATCGAACCAGCTTTCGCTCTCTGATTCTGAGAATGAAAAAAATAAATAGAGTTGTCAACTTGCTGCCAACCTCAACCGTATAATTAGGCTTATGTTTCATGGCAATCAACTCAGAAGAGTTTCGTTTCAAAACACGGTAAAACTCACTGGTAAATAAAACTACAAAGCGAATGTGTGTTGTCGTTTTCCAAATAAAGCTCGAATCGGCTTTAAGACATGAAGACTGAGAAATTGAAGAACTGAAAATTAGAACTACAATACACAAGCTTGCAATGATAACTTTTTATGTCTTAGTTTCAGCCGGGTTAAGTGAAAAATAACAGTCCAAAACTTTGTTTTCGTGAATGAAAATCAGTTTACCTGACGCTCTACCCAAAAATAGTTTATCATCTTACCTTTTCTGAATCTAATCGACTAATTGTTTCAGTGATCTGTGCCTGGTTATCCATAAAAGGAATTTTATATTAACTACAAAATAGTCAAAAACACGAGCAGCATGAAGCAGAACGACTGAACTACAAGCTGCACACAGAATGAAGCCGAGAGCGCGCGTGAGACTTTGATCTGACTGAAAAGTGTGACTGAAAAAGAGACCGGAAATGTTCAACCTGGCGCATGCGTAGACGTTTTGCCGCGGTGTTCAAACGAGGTTGGTTACAAATTAAGCCGAGTGGCTCTGGGGACGAGAATGGGACATTTTATGACGAATACAATCCGGAGCATGCCCAGAAGGGTTTTTTCCGGTGTTGTTTTGATGTTTGATTTGCGGCTTTAATTTCTTCGTAACTTCAATATAGTTTACCGTCTTTTACCCCAGCTATGAGCGGGGATTATCCCTATTTGACATACCTGACCCTTTATCTTGTTACTGCTTGCCTATGGAAGTCAGACACCTTGGGAGCGACGCATTGGATTTTAAACGAAAGAGAAGGAGTCGTACGGGTTAGCAGTAACTCCGATATACTGAAGTCTGATCCAGTTCTATCCATTCTGACGAAGACGTACCCTCCTAAGACGGGAAACAGTAGAAAAACAAACTGTGACCAGTGTAGCAAGGGCAGATCCCATGGACTGAGGTAAGAATGTTATTGAAAGCTTCGAAGATAGCAGGCTTTTAATTAAGGATTGTCAATTTCGTTTGTTTTGACGGTAAGTCTGTGTAGTAGTTGTGTTGTAGCGTGCGTTGGAAAACAACTCGTGCCTGTTTGTCGTGCTGAGTCTTCCTTTCCAAACAACGTTTAGAGAAACAATTTAGGGTGCATGTGAAAAGGGTTTTTTTTATACAGTCTTACAACAGTAACTCACGGCGAGCACATGACATTTGCATCTAAAGTACTGTGAAAAGGACCAATAAGAAAACAAAGTTGATAGTTGCTCAAGTTCCAAGGGAAGGATTAACTTTTTCGTTAACTTAACGTTCAGGAACGGCGTTTAATTTTATATTTATGTGTTCATTTGTTTTTCGATGACACGGAGGTGTTTGAGAGGATTCGATCCTACCCGAAAATCAGTCGATTTAAGAACTTGTATTCGTACATGCACCGATGAAAATGCAATGTTCACGTGTTAACTTGAACATGGTATTCTTTTTCGAAGTTTTGTTTTCAAAGTAGCATAAGATGAACGTTTTAAACTGATCAAGTTTTGTTTTGTGCTTAAGTGTTTATCTAATACCAAATTCCAAATTCTGCTATCTGATCGACAATAATACAGGTGTAGAAGCGTGGCTGTGGTCTGTTAGTAATTTGGAGTTGTGATCAGAGGTTTATTGCTTCATAACACTTCTGCTTTGGGAAATAAAATCTTATAGCTGAGGTCACCGGAGCCTTTACGTCTTCGGCGAGAGTTGGAGTTTATGCGCCTGCAAACTGCCAATTTTGTGCAAGTTCCTGCTGCACTTCTTTTCTAACCGTTAACAATCCCAACAAAACCGCTACAGATGATAATGATTTTTCAACAAGAACGGTTGACAAAAGAAGCCAATATAAGTTATTTTTTAAAACTACACGCTTACTTATAACAAGTAAGTGTGTAGTATATTTTTACCTCTTTTTAAAAAATTGTAATGTGGAGTTTACTTTTTCAATCGTCATTTCTTTAGTCAAACCAATTTGTCCTGAATCAATCTGAAAGGTGCCAAAATATACATTACAGTGGTAACCAACAAATGGTTAACCTAGTTTGTTTTCTTTTGTTTTAAAGGGAAGGTATTGTTATTTATTTGGGTAGTGGGAAGTTTTATCTTCTTGCCAAAAGAACAATGCTAATGGCTTAGTCAATTCCAGGCATGCCCATATCTCCGCCGCTAACTTCCGTCAAGTGCTGTGTGTTCCCACGGTGGGGCATTTACCATCCAATACTGCAATAATAATGTGTGCAGGTGGTTCAGGACAAGGACAGGAGGGTTCCCAATTAAAGTCGAGGCCCAACCAAAAAAGAAGTAAATTGGTACAAATCACATACAACAATATAAAATTGTATAAAAATAAAGCTTTTTGGAGCATAGTAAAAGTATAAGACCAGATAGGTCTAGAAGAACTGTATGGATAAAAGATGGTGTTTCTTGGTGTTGCGGAAACCATTGTTGGTTTACTTTTGTGTTTTGCTGTGGCTATTGTTTAGTGACTTTTCAATCTTTTGTATGACATCATTTTGGGGATTGCATTTGTCTGCAACACCAACAAACTACGATAAAGGCACATTATGTGGATTTTTATAAAGTAACTAAGTTATTAGGTGTGCTTTGATTGGCCGAGAGGCATGTTTGCATGAGAGTACAGTGGAACCTGGATTTAATGAACCTCTATATAAACAAAGTCCTTGGTATAACGAAGGATTTTCTTCAGCCTGGCCAAAATTACAGTAAAGTGTATGGAACAGAACCTCTATTTAACAAACTTCGATTTAACGAAATCCTTGTTATAACAAACACAATGCACAAGCCCAAATGTAAAATATACCTCAATATAACGAGTAAATGTCAGCATGTGATAAAAGATGGAAGCCAAACAGACCAGCAAGGATAAAATTTATGTGTACAGTAGTTTTAAGCAGTTCTGTTTGCCTGTTCTTGAGCTTCCGGTGCTGTAGCTATGTATAGCTTGGTACTGAAATGTTATTACAGTAATATTTCAGATCCGGAAATGCTGGGTTTTGTAAATTAATTGCTAACTATACCTTGATATAACGAACATTTGGTAGTTTTCTCGAAAATTTGTAAAATGGAGGTGTGCGGTATAACGAACCCTCGATATAACAAATAAATTTCCCCAGTCCCTTGGCACTTTGTTAAATCGAGGTTTCACTGTATGTAAACCAACATTTCCAAATTCCAATTTGACCAGGAATCAGGTAGACAAAGAACCACTTGTGGATGTGCTACCTCCAAATCATTATTTATTTATTTTATTTATTTATTTATTTACATGGTTGTGACGTCAAGATGTTGTGCTTTTCGCATGCTGATCATGCAAGCACAAATTTGAAAAAGGTTTTGAGGTGAAAACTCGACAAGATCTTTAAGATTCTGCATGAGTTTTTACTCATGAATTCACCTGAATTCACCCATCAAAACCTTGACCAATCTGAGACTAGATTGGTCCTGGAGCATAACCAAAAACGTGACCAAAATCTTGACCAAGCTAAAAGCACATCATTAAAACTTTATAAGGTTTTTGTCATAAGTCAAACAAACAAATGAGTTTCAAGATCTTTACATTGCCTCCATTGGTCACCTGCAGGTGAACTGGTTAATGTTTAGCCAAGAAAAACAGCTTGGTCAACTTAGTACCTCCCTGCCAGTCCATACGGACGGGTGTACGCTGATGTCATAACCAAATTTTCTTGCATCAATAGGTTTCCGTTTTCTATAGCAATGGAGGCTCCACCGCGCACGCAAAGCATGCGGGAAGGCTCCGCTACAAAATGTGAAATCAGATCATTTTATAGCCTAAAATACATGTATAAGCATGGTTGATCAAGTGTTTGGTCAAGATGGCTGTGTATTGGCCAAGTTGTTTTTTGCATTTTTGAAAAAGAAGATGTATGGACTGAGACAAAGTGGAGGGCAATAAAAATGCAAAAAAGAAGGAGGTCAATATTTAGCCATCTTGACTGAATAAGGTTTGTGAAAGTTTAACCAAGGGGTAAAACAATGCTTCAGTCAAATCGCAAATGTAGTGTTTCAGTAATTGCTGGAAAACTGATTGATAGTCATTAATGATAAGACTGAGAAAACGGCCAGCATTTCGTGACACCATTACTGGTTTCCTTGCAAAATGATGTCTAAGAAACAAGAGCAGAAATTCCCTACCAATGATGCATCACTGCCCAGATCTGGGTAGTGTTTCTGATTGGTTTAATCAAATTTTACACATGGCACAACCAATCAGAAGCACTACTCAGATCTTGGTAGTGAGGGGTCGTCAGTATGGAATTTCTGCACTCATTTCTCAGACATCATTTCTCAGGGAAACCAGTGGTGGTGTTGGAGAATTTCAGCTGTTTTCTCAGGCTAGTTAATGATGTCAGTTTTTTTAAGAGATATTATGCACAGTTCTATTTTTGCATTTCATTGCTTTTCCTCAAACAGCCCTGTAGTGGGTGCAGTTGGTCCAACATCATTAGAACTATTTCCAGCACCACAGTTAACTTGTGGTACCCCAGTGAATGAGACATTCTATGATCACTTGGAAGGTATAGCAAACCGTGAGTACCATCCAACTTTTGTCGAGCCAGATGTAGCTTTGATTTTTAAGAAGAATGATGTTGAAGATATTGATCTGGGACTTATTGAGTCAAACTTAAAAGGAGCTATTGAAGAGGTAGGTTGAGTAAATTCTACAGCGTTAGTCTATTTTTCAGCGTAAGCGGAAGTCCATGAGATGAAGTAGTAGCAATATTATCTTTACATGAGTAGTAAAACCATCACTAAACCCATTAACCTCCGAACTGCAGATCCACATCCCTTGCAATGCCTGTGATTTCATTAGTTTGAATACAGTGTAGGCCAGGGAACAGGGAAAAGAAACAACAACCATGTAAACTTTTCAGAAAAATTCGAATGAGAATCTTACTCCACTAGCCACTTGCACTTCCTTGCATCTAATCCTGCAGTTCTATAGGCTGCTTTCTGTATATGCCCCAATTTCAGAGGCTGATAGTTACTTAGCATCAGGAACAGAAGGCAGTGAAATGGTCAATTTATAAAAGAGCACTTTAGGCTTTTTTTAATGGCCGGACAGTGACCAAAAAATGGCTCAAAAAGTGTTTTTCAGCAAAATTTTATTGAGCAAAGGGTTGGTTAAAAAATTGATTCATGGTTTGGGCAATCTGCAATGAGTTGACATGAAATGCTTATGTGACCAAACTTTTGCTTATAATCAAAATTCAGTCTTTTGCAATACCCACGTGTTTGTCATAAAATGGTAAGAAAAGAAACAAAGTGAGAGCATTGCCCTCACAGGGATTTTGACAGCTATATGATGTGTTCTCTTTAAGAAAATACAGTAAAAGCCCACAACTGAGAACCTAAAAAATAAGAACCTGTTAGCCTAAAATTGGTCATTTACACCCCCTATAAACAAGAACCTATTTAGCCTAAGAAATTTAAAACAGGTTCTCATTTTCTAAAATCATACTAGTACATTGCAGCTGCATTGCAAGAATCATATTTGAAGCAAAAAAAGCAGATTGCCAAAGCTCGGCAAAGCATATAAATACATGTAAATGTATAAATTGATATATTCTGAAATGTTTTTTTGGGGGGGGGGTGGGGGGTGGGGTGAGGCTGAAGAAAATAAAAGTATAGGCTAATGACCAACTTGGTTGCAGCTGTGTTTTAAAAGCCCATGTCTGTAAATATCGAGAATCGCTAGCCAGGCTAAAAAAATCGAAAATTCTGATAATTTGTCAGAAAAACCCCTTTGGGGAACTATCTTCGAAAAAAATATTTTCAACTTTCAAGAATCTTTAGTTTTCAAGAAAATGAGGAAAAACGAAAATAGCGGTTTTTACCTAATTAATTATGCAAAAATTAGAGTAAAAATGACCTACTTTATCGTGTCTGTACCGAGGCAAGATTCAAAGCTATAAAACAAAAATATTTTTGTTTAAGAATTCTATCTTTTCTTTCTATCCATGGTATGTTTTAAACCTTAAACTTGATTTTGAATTTTTTATGGTTTTTTAAAAAATGAGCAAATTCAGGGGCAAAAAAGTCACCTTGGTATGTGTGATACCTAGCCAAAATGTATACTAGGACAAAGTTCCGCTCTTATAGCGGTGCTCCGGCGCGCGAAGCGCGCCAGCGGAGCACCATGGGTAATAAAATTTGGTAAACCATCCATCCGAGAAAATTTGGTTATGACGTAGCGTACGCCCGTACACTCTTTGCGGGGGAGGGAAGGGTGGGGGGGTGGGGGGTGGGGTGGGGCTGAAGAAAATAAAAGTATAGGCTAATGACCAACTTGTTTGCAGCTGTGTTTTAATTGTTTTTTCTCCAGGATTAAGAACCCATTTTAAGAACCTAAATGGCCTAAAATTCTGTTAACTACCATAACTACTATAAGAACCTGTTTAGGCTAACTCCTAAAAAGGAAGGTTCTTAGTTGCGGGTTTTTACTGTACAACAATCAAAGATTTTCTGACCATTTTACTCACTTCAAAATTTTGGTCTTAGTAAAAGAATAAAGATGTTCGTAAAACTCTTCATGCATGTACGTCTTAGATGCCTTGATTAATTTTTGGTTTGTGCTCGTTTTCATTTCTCACGTATTACTTTTGATTTGTACAATTAAAATTCATCACCCATTTTACACACAACAGAACCTTTCACTGTACTGAATTGAGTAAGCCGGTCTTTGTTGCGTGTGTGCTGCACGTTGTTAGGGTACAGTTTGGAACCCAGGCCTAATAGCAATGTGCTTGGTATGGTGGGTTTATGAACTTTTTGAAGCAAACTTAAGGTGGATGTTGGCAATGTGTACAACTGAACATAAATGTTTAGAACTACCTGTATGCCTGAAAGAAGCCTCTGCCAGGAGGGTACATAAAGAAAAGAGATGGAAATTTAAATTAGAAACATCCATTTGTAAATTTAGCTTTTGCAGAGAAAAGTCCCACAGTGTTGTGCCTTATCATTATGGCAACTACAGTGTAGATCTCAGGTTGATACATCTGTTTTTTGTATGTTATTATAAAATGATGATACTGTCTTTGGTGTAATGATAAAACCAAACTACCTAGCTATTATGCTTGGACTTTTCATATAACCACCCATTAATCCATCAACATCACTTGTTTAAACCCAAATGAAAGGCAAACCATTTTGTTATTTTGACAAACTAACCTCTGTCCAGGACATTTGAGCTTAAACTGTGTGTTTTGATTTCATTTATAGAGTCCAAACTCAGTGGTGGTATGTAATCACATTGGAAATTTCTGGAGAATAAGAGGAAGTACTTATCACTCCATAGAGTGTTTCAGAAGAGCTTTGTACTTCTCCCCGAATGATGCAGATGCCCTTCTTAATCTTGCAAAGGTTTTATTTAATTTAAACTATGTACAGGATGCTGCCTACTTAGCACGAAGATCTTTAGAAATGCAGCCATCTGAACACAACTGTTGGTTGCAGCATTTCACACTTGGTGAAATATTGAGAGCTGCTGGAGATCTAGAAGAAGCTGGCATCCATTTTAGACATGCTCTTGACCTGAATCCAGCATTTGAACTGGCAGAGGTGCATCTTCGTGAGATTGGATCACCATCAACTTCACCCACAAATACATATACTTTCTTAATCATTGGTTTACTGGTTGTCGTTGTCTTGGCCACTGTCTACTTTATGACATTGACAAGCGAAAGTCGTGGAATGAAAAGTAGTCGAATGTCACTTTGGGTTGAAGGAAAAAGGCCAAAAAAGAGACCAGTATCATGAAGTGTGTTGTATTTAATGTTAAATTAAGAAAGCTAGATACTTGATGGGAATCGACATTGATGTGCAGCAATTTTCAACTGAAGTCTTTTTTAAGAGAAACATATGTTTGTCAATGCATTTCATGAAAATGTTTTACATTTTTTTTTGGTCAGAGGCTGCACTCTTTTATAGAAATTTGATATTCAGATATTTGCTTGCAAATTAGCTGTTTTTAATTAAACAATTTCCTCAACAGACTTTGTTGTTAAATATTTATTGTCTTGTTGTGGATCCTGATCACCACGACTGACCCAGCACTGGCCTTTGACCATTTTCATCACCATGGGAAAGAAGAAAAAATTGGTGACTACAGTGGAAATTATCAATTTGGCGACTTGTGTTTCATGGTAATGCAGCAAAGATGTGGTGACTTCAATAGTTTAAGTGTTTATGGTCTTTCCTAAGGTGGCTGAATTGGATTTTTCAGGGCCAATATCTCCTAAGTTTGAGCATTAACTACGTCGACATTACACAAATATATGAAAAAAGTTACCACAGCTTTATTAGACAAAGACAACATACCTGTCTCATTGTTCACGAAGTTTGAGCAAGGTCTTTTTGAGTGTTTTTAAGATGTCTTGGGATGACATTTTTATGTTTACCTCATAGTAGTTTCAATCTTTATAAAATTGTGTGTAAAAGACCATGGGGATTTAAGCTTTGGCAGATTGCTTAGAAAGAAGGCTTTATTATGAATATGGATTGAAGCGCACTTGTCCGCGTTTTTTATCTACTTTAACAAACAAGGGATCAATATTTTGAGATTGCTTTAATTTATAGATTTTTAAAAAAATATTATATTCTTAAGATCAATTGTCATTTTTATATGACCCTTAAATTTAAAATTCTGATCATTGAAAACTTTTAAGGAATTAAGTAAGGGCCATGATGTGCTTTTCTTTTTTTTGGAAATTTTGTGTTTACAAGTGAGAGCCATCAGTATTATTTTAACTTATTGTCTCCAAGTTTCATCATTCCATGTTGTCACTGAAAGTTCTTTGTATACTGTAAGTGGCATAGTTTTTTTTTGGATATAGTGAACAGAGAAATAAGACCATACGTCAAGTGGTAGCTTATGAGAGGTTAAAAACAATGTAAAATTATAAAACCATCAGCATTATAGTGGTAATTGAACTGAGTGGTTGCAATTTGGTCGGAAATCACAAAGCATGATTTTAAAATCCGACATGCATGAGTTTGATTTGAAATCACACTGAAGTACGATTTCCGACTCCTTATACTACTGCATGAGAAATTTCATCAATTTGATTGGCTTAGAGCAGTGGTATTTCAGCTTAATTTGAAATACCTACATGTAAAAATTACAAAACCTTTGAGGGTAGTAGTATAAACAAATAATAGCATGATTTGTACGTAATATTTGGCATAAATACCACTAGTGATATTTCAAAATTGTCTCAAATTTCACTCACCTAACGGCTCGTGAAATTACGTATAACAATTTCGAATATCACTCGTGGTATTTATGCCAAATATCACTACAAATCATGCTATTACCTATACAAATTACACGACATAAAGTTCAATTACCACTTTATTACAGCCATTTTGAAACTGCAGAATTCAGTCAGTACCAATATTCATTATTACTTTAGCCGCCGGTTTTTTAGCCTCCCCAGTAGACATTCTTAGGGGTTCGTCATGTCGGGGAGGCTACTGGTTTGTTGAAAAGCTGAAACAAAAAGGATTTTACATCTCATTTTTGTTTCCGAAACAAATGATGCAATATGTAATGGTAACAGGACTGAATGGAGTCCAGTTCGGTCTGTAATCATAACTATAACAAAATGGTCAAATCTGATTGGCTATTAAGTGCCCTGATTTCAGCCTTAATTGGACAGTTTTATTGGACAGTACGCATCATGCCTAAGTAATTGGACAGTACGCGCCATCACGCGCGCGCTTAAATGGCTTTTTTTCTCACTGCTAGCAAAACAAAATTTCGAATTTCTTGTGTTTTGATTTAAAAAATAGCTTATTATATCACAAATTTTGTTAAAGTTATGATTAATTGGTAACAGAACTTCGTGTCGTCCAATTCGGTCTGTAATCATACTCGTGATTAAACAAATCGGACTCCCGCTACGCGGTCGTCCGATTTTGTTAATCACTCGTATGATTTCAGACCGAATTGGACTCCACTCAGTCCTGTTACCATTACTAATCATATGAGTGATTAACAAAATCGGATGACCGCGTAGCGGGAGTCTGATTTGTTTAATCACGAGTATTATTACAGACCGAATTGGACGACACGAAGTTCTGTTACCAATTAATCATAACTTTAACAAAATTTGTGATATATTAGGCTCTTTTTTTAATCAAAACACAAGAAATTCCGAGATTTTTTTGCTAGCAGTGAAAAAAAA